TGTTATTATCTGGGTCCTGCAGTGTTATCTGGGTCCTGCAGTGTTATCTGGGTCCTGCAGTGTTATCTGAGTCCTGTGGTGTTATCTGGATATTGCAGTGTTATCTGGGTCCTGCGGTGTTATCTGGGTCCTGCAGTGTTATCTGGGTCCTGCGGTGTTATCTGGATATTGCAGTGTTATCTGGGTCCTACAGTGTTATTATATGGGTCCTGCAGTGTTATCTGGGTCCTGCAGTGTTATTATATGGGTCCTGCAGTGTTATCTGGGTCCTGCGGTGTTATCTGGGTCCTGCAGTGTTATTATATGGGTCCTGCACTGTTATTATATGGGTCCTGCACTGTTATTATATGGGTCCTGCAGTGTTATTATATGGGTCCTGCAGTGTTATTATATGGGTCCTGCAGTGTTATTATCTGGGTCCTGCAGTGTTATTATCTGGGTCCTGCAGTGTTATCTGGGTTCTGCAGTGTTATTATATGGGTCCTGCAGTGTTATCTGGGTCCTGCAATGTTAAAGGGCAGTGTTGTAGGCAGAACAATGATGAGAAAGTTGTCCGCAATGACTCCTACGTCCATTACCTGAGTCCTTCCCTACAAAGCCTTCCCTGGTGCTCGCCCTTGCTGCCACTTCTGTTGGGAGACTGCTTCAAACACTGAGAACTCCTCCCAGAGCTGAGACTCAGACACAGATGTCCCTAGTGTGAGCACGGAGAGAGCCAGCCGGGATCCTCAAGCAAGGACTTCGGTTTTAACTGAAGTTCATCACAGAGTCAAATGCATTTGTCCCATGTGTGGCTACGGGGATCGCACAGATTCAAGATCAGAGCGTTCCCGGGATTCCAGACGGCTTCCCATGACCCTCCCCGGGCAGGGTCACCCCAGCTCAGATGAGCATCCATGTCTCCTCTCCACTTGCTCCTGGGATGCCTGTTTTGGACTCTACAAAGATAGAATTCGTCTACGGGTTTTGTACTATTTTGTCCCACTCGGGTTGTTTTGTTTGTTTGGTTTTGGGTTTTGTTTTTGGCTTTTTGTTTTTTGTTTTTGAGACAGAGCCTCATTCTGTAGCCCAGATTGGTCCTGAACTCAGCAAAATCCTTCGACCTTCCTTAGCCTCACAAATGCAGAGCTTACAGGCTTTAGCTACCCCACACCAGCCAGGTTGCAGTCCTGTATCTGGCTTCCTTTGTATGACACAGTTTTTTTGAAATTCACTAACAATGCTGCATCGTAATGAGCTTCACTTTCATTTCTGTGTTGTTTCAAATGTACAAATCTGCCATGCGTTCTTTTAAACCATCACGTTTAGAAGTGGGTCAGTGAAATTGTTCCATGGATAAAGCTGTTGGCAGCCATCCTTAAGGGTTGGGATCCACAGAGGGGAAGGAGAGGGCTCTGGCTCCCAAGTTGTCCTATGAACTCCACAAACTCCACGGGTTAGAAACACATGCACACAGGAGAGATAGATAATAGAGATAGATAGATAGATAGATAGATAGATAGATAGATAGATAGATAGATAG